AGCGTGTAAATTAGAACACCAAACAAAACGTGTGAAACCAGATGTCAGCACTTGGGGATCGATTCCTCTTTATTTGCTAACTAGAACTAAGCCGCCATTTTTTTGTGCTTTTAATTTTATCTATTTGTTATTCTGTAAAATGTAGAATACCAATACTCGACGCTGTAACAAGAAGATTTTAACTAATAATTATTAAAAATATTTTTGACAATCTGTTATAAAATCGATTTAAAAACATGTTATGTACAAACTATACTTGCATTTAAATGGCCTGACCTATCTGTGACGTATTGCCATACATGTTAATTACAAAATCCTCATATACATTTATTTGTGGAAACACAAGTTATGTAGTAATTGACGTATAGCAAAATAAGTCTAATTTCATTATTGACATTTTTTGTAAGTCAATGAATTTCACTGTGTTCGGTCAAACATTAGGCATACAAACAAATTGAAGGTATATTGCGTATTGACTCACATGCATTTCAACGACTAAACTCTTTGTTATATATCGTATTTTTTAAAATATCAAATTGACGCGAACCCTTAAAAATAATACTTCTTATAAATAAATAATTGGTCACAAATTGTTATTAATCGAGCACAAAATCGGATCTATCAATAAATATTAATGAACATAAAACACGATGAATATAAATGAATCGGCCTCTGTTGTATTCTTACACGAGGCTGGATAAAGGGCAGTTCACCTTCGCAAAGGTTACCTCGTTACATTACTCCAGTGTTATCATGAGGCCTTGGATGTAATTCCTGTATAATTATTTCCGGTTTAATTATGCCACTCATATACCACTGTGGTGGTGGTACCACAACATTTTTATTCAACACTTTGACCGCATAGTGTTATTGGAAATCGTACCATAGTGAACGACTAAGAATCTTTACAATATAATATTATTTATTATCATCATCGATCACTTAGATGTTTCAAATATATCTAATCATACAGACAATTAAGCGGTTATGTATTATTAGCAGTACTGTCAATTTACCTATTTCTGCCGCAAGCAGTAATGTGAGCATTACAACGTCCCGGTTTTCATAGGGTAAGGGTGCTAGTGAAAATACAAGTATATGGGACTTGTCAACTTGTCCCAAGGTACCGGGTGCAATGACAGTGATCCACAGATCTTTGCTATTCAAAGCTCTGAGTGGCTCTGCAATCACCACCAAACGGACAACTTGTTCGTGTCGTCACTTGATACCTTAATAACAATAAAAAAGTTCAAATTTAATTCAGTACACTTTGGCTAAGCAAACTTTTTATAAGTTTTACGTAGCAAATCTGAAGTCGTTGACGTCTTTTCTTTCGTAACGCACTGAGCTTAGTCAAAAAGATCTCTTTCAATTCTTAACTAAAACCTTCATCTCAAAATACTGGCAAAAAACAGTGGTATTTAGAGACCAACAGACGACCTATAGTTTTTTTTTTTTTTTTTGTTAAGCAACCAGCAAACAATCAGACGGTGCAGTCAGACATGATGGAAAGTGGTTACCGTCGGTACAGTTGCGATACTAAGGAAAATGTCCTCCAAATTGCAAACGTGATAAGGAACATATCTCCTGCGAATTTATTACTTAGATAATAGTCTAAATCTTAATAAAGAATACACAAAGGGAAACAAACGTACATACTATAAAATACTGTCGTAGTACTTGGCGGATTCATGTCAAGATCTCCTTAACAAAGGTCAGTTTGTTAACTAAAAGTAATTAACAAATAGAGTTTGCTAAAATTCTTGTGTCTTCGACTGTTTTGACACACTTTGTTCGGATCCATCTGTACTATTATGAACATAAAACAATAAGTAAATAAATACGATTCAAATGTAAAAAGAATTTATTGATGATGCGAGGATGGAGCGTTAAGTACATGGTAGACTTGCGTGAAATTGAATTTTCGACCTTTTTAATTATTTAAATAGGTTTGTTTCTTAATTTAACAATTCAGTTGCACTTTTTAATAGTACATTTAGCTTTGTTACTCTCCTGCCTATACAGTACAGAAAATTGTTTTATGAATTGACGCAATTGTGCCTACCTATAGCTTCCTAAGAACAGCAAACTACAATTCGAAAAGTTCCAAACTCCTAATGTTCGCTAAAATGCTTCATGCTTCAGGCCCAAGGAAGTATGCCCTCAGTTATTCTTCTATACAACTATAAAATACATTATTTTCTAGTCATATAGCATATGTAGCGCTAAATTTGGATGTGATATTTTCATTATAATGTACTACACTGATCGTTTCTCTGAATCAATTCACATATTATGTACATTTTAATGTTCACGGAGCCTTAAGAGGATAAGCACTTTTTTATCATCATAGTTCTTGAAAGTGTATGAACAAAATTGCGCAAAGCGCAATCTTCGTAGGTCACGCGCAATAATGAAATGTTTTAATTACTAGAATGCACTATATAAATGTTACTAAAACCAAGCTACATCCGTTTCCCGAAGGCGACGGCAGCTGCGGATTTCGCAACTCCCGCACATTCCGCCCGCCTCAAGATCACGAGATACCGACGCAAACACAGCCCACTAGCTTTCTGCAACATGCTAAATCCGGATTTGGATCCTGTTGAAACAATCTATAAAACGCCATTTTCGTTGAAAACAATAAAGCTGCCCTAATGCCTAAAGCATATTTTCACATTTTATGTGAGCTATCGCATTCCCAACGATTACTTTACTACATAAATTGTGAAATACCGGGTCTTAGAACTTGATCCTTATCCGATCACGTTTCAGTTCAAATTTAAATTCAAGTCATATCTTTATTTAACACGTAAGCAATTTACACCGGAAATCGTCAAAGCGATTAAACATTTCTCTGATAAAAGAGAAAAATGAGAAAGAAGCTTTAGAGGGTCGCTTTAGCTTTTTTTTAATACGGCTAATAAAGTTGCAAAATAATATTCACATGCCTGAAATTTTTTTTTAAATTGTGAATTTTGTATAGTGTCGTGTTTTCATATATTATTACATTGTATAAAAGGAGTGAATCCCCGAAAATCTCATATCCAAATTGTACATACATAAACTCACGCCCCTGTCCCACGGCAGGGGTAGGCTTAGACCACGGAACGCCACCTTACTACAACTTCTTCTATTCTTTTTACTTCGGATCTCAGCCTGGAATCGATCAAAATTGTATACATGTTATATTACAGTACAAAATATAGTAAATATTATAAATTAGTTCAAAAAAAGGTTTAGAAAAAGAAAACTATAACGACTCGAAAATTATTTTTATACACATTTTTTTCACACTGGAGTTCTAAACCTTTGAACATAAAAATGAGATAAAAGAGTACGTTATTGTCTATTTACAAGTATCACAGCTACCTTATTCAAGCCACTGCAAACCTATATTTGTATTAATTTTGACTCCTAAAGGCGGATCTTAGCTTTCAAGCTACTTGACGTCAAACTTTTCTAGTTCCGAAAATAACTAACTATCAAGTACCAAGTCACAAACAACCATAAACATTTTAATTGCCATCCTATATCTATTAAGGTGAAGATCGCAATTCGTGTCAAGTACGATACATGTCTAATTAGCATTTTAGAACAGTTAACGATGCATAGAAGTTTGCACTGGGTGTCTATAGGATCCACTATGCCTGACATAGTTGTTGTACAGTAAATCCTGTTTTTATATACACGAATCTTAAATTTCATGTGAACAGTGAACACGCAATTTGCGGAAAAGCACATTGTAGTAAATAACCATTTCAGACAATGGTTGAACTAAATGATGATATACTTGGGATTTCAATTATTACATCTATATGCGGTTTTCTTCCATCCAGCAACTTTGCATAACTACGAGGGTGGGTTGATAAATGCATGATCAGAACTCCTTACTAAGCAACTGACGTTCCTATTTTATAACTAGTGTGAAAAAAAAATAGAAATAGAAACGTTACGTGAGGTCGGTATATTTTTGAAGACGGGGATAACGGAATTTCGATTTTTCCCTTTCCCAACATCTAAATTAGTCGCGAATTATAGTATGAACTACTGCCGCACCTCCCCATGTTCGCCAGATATGGCCCCACCTGACTTTTACCTCAGATATGAAGAAATATGATGAAATTGGATTGGTGGACAAAGATTGGTAATAAATAATGAAGAAGGTAGAATAGGGGCCTATTTTTTAGAGTTCAACAAAAAATACCTTTTGGATAGCTTGAAGAAGTTACAATATCGCTGGTCAAGATGTATAGAATTAAAAGGAGATTACGTAGAAAAATAAACCGAAATTTAAAAAAAAATTCTTCTCAATAACAGGGACGTAACAAACTGCGCTCGTAAAATGTAAAATAACATAATTATAAAAAAGAATCACCGTTTGTTCAATATCCGGTAAAGATTCAGATGCTTCCTCAAATCATGACAAAGTTACCCGAAGGTTGACTTGATTCATTTCGACATAATGTTTATATAGTTGAGTCACTAAGGTCGATCGACAAGTGCTGATTCGAAGTATCATAGGAATATGTCAACATAACCTCTAAAAAACCAAGTGACAACTGAAAGAAGTGAAATAACAAGGCAATAACAAAACTTACACTATCCTTAACTATTTCTAAGAAAACTTAATCTTTTTTTAAGAAAACTTGTGTTATCTCCACCTATTTCTATACGTGTTTGTTTGTCTACGATGAGGATGACAAAAACTCAATAATATTATACAGAACTAAGAAGGAAAAAGGAAGTTTTTTCGTAAGAAGGCTATGGCTACAACTAAATCTACACATAATAATACGGAAGTCCTGTTATTGGTAGTTATCAATCGGGATTCACTTAATAAGGAAGAAAAGTTTTATTAGCGCCTATGAACTACATACACGCTATGTACTTTCTATCTTTTGGTAGACCAACACTTCTGTCCAATAATATATAACGATTAATTCTATTAATGTTGTTTTGATAGTAATATTTATTTGAGCTGTCTCATTTTGTTCCAGGCTGGGTGAGCGATGAAGGGGTGGTTCGACGCGTTCCGCGAGGAAGGCGGGCCAACCCTATACGCGTACCACAACCGCACCGCGGTCGCCGCGGATGTGCCTGCGCTTGCGCTAGTGCTTGCCGCGATCACCCTCTACCTCGCCTTTCTTGCTGTCTTCCCTGGCATAAGGAAGGAGGTAAAAATCTACTGAGTATACTATACATACTATAGCATTTTTCATGTTACGCAAATTCTGCTTCACTTGCAATGCACAAAAGTACCTGTAAACATCTTTAATCTAACGCGTGATGAATTCAGTGACAATGTGTTGGGTGTACATTTTGCCTACAAAATATCGCCATGTATGGGAAGCAAATCCGCAACACAGGAAAACATCTCTAATGCTCAGAGATTTTCTTAATTTTTGCATATTCGTCAATAGTCAGTTTTGCCTAACCCCCAATAGACTCTTGGCACCAGTTTTCTTAATATAAAAATACTTCATAATGTCAAGGTTTCTTCTCGTTTCACCACAATTTCCTAGACAATAAAAATCAGCAATGAATCAGCGAATACTTATAAATTTAATTCGTTATTAATTCCAAAAGTAATTAAACTTTGTTTTGCATTTTATCTTTTGTATGGCAATTAATTGCAATTAAATTTTTGCAGAGGTTTTCAACGTTCACCATAGTCACACTCAGCCTGTTTGTCGGTACAGTCATCCTAGGTAAGAGACTTTCATCACTATCTTAATTATTTTAGATTGCTTAATTGTTTCAAACTCTTACACAGTCCCCCTCAGGCAGTCTTTTGTGGTAGGCTGTACTTCGAAAATTAGAACTGTCTATCAATACAACCACGCCCCGAAATGACGGCCTTGTTAGAGTCGTCATTTAAATATAGACTCATGCAAAATTAATATTTATTAATTACTCTAATTTGCGGTCTAAATCATAATGGATACATAATTGCTATGTGTCTTGTGCAAAATGTTATTAAACAATATGTTTTATTAGCATCTTGATGATGTCATGGTAATCCATAGATGTTAGGTACACGCATCAAGTATACACTTGTATACGCCAGATCGGTATGTGAATGTGTGTGTTTCCCAAAGAGAAGCAAACTATACTGAATATTTATTCAGTACGATAAATATTCAATTTTGTTTTTAAATTATTAATATTATTTTTACATAAACATGGGTACGTTTATTTGAAAACCTTTGTTAATTTAAACTTTTTGGTTTGGAATTTAGCCGCCACCCTTATATCAGAATGGCTGGTCATTTTTAAAATGTGTTTTCTAAACCCGTGGTAAGTACATTAAATACAAAATCAAACATTAATCGAATGGACTGCTGCTACGCCAACTCTTTTGTGTTTATATGTAGATCTTTTGTGTAATAAATAGTAGATAGTAGGTGCAATTTGAATCTCTTTAGGAACCATTTACACTCTATTCTGATGGATTTATTCACTTATCTTGTTGCTTTTACAAAAACTTTGAAATAGTAATTTGCTTCCAGATAAGACAGTGCGCTTAATTGATAGAAATGACTAATGTATACATCATAGAGGTAATCAAGTTAATATCATCTGCTAATGAACCTAACAAAAAGCGGTTGATCAATCGGGACTCTGTATAGAAGTACATTTCCACACGTCGTCGTCTATTTGATTTGATCACATTAATCAACTCATCTTGTAGCCTATGATTAAAATAGATATGTTACGAGTATAGTAACTCATATAATTGCTAACAATCATTACTTTTATTATGAGTTTATCATTCATAACGAAACTTATCAAGCATACAGAGTTACTACATGTAGCTGGCAGCGAAAAAATTAGCTACCAGCCTTCGAAATAATTTACATACCTTGTAAAGTTAATAAAAAATAAATTGTTATGAATTGAACAAACTCTTTCCGCAATTTATAATCAAATGAACAGTTAGATGGTCGTTAAAGTGTGCAAAAACTAATTTTTTTCGTAATGAGTACCGGCTATTGTTTTCGGGTGACCGCCCAAGTGGAGAAATCAACACTGCATTCTGCCATTGACCGCAATATTTCGTGTGTCAATCGCAACCTGGCTCAGTGTAAGTGTCCATTACAAGCATTGAATGGCACCCCTAATATATGCACGTTTCGCGAAGATAGGATCTAAGAAACCTAACAACCTCTTTACATTACCGCTAACAACCATTTTAACTTAATGGCATTTACAAAGAACTTGTTATTGTAATTTAAACTAAAATCCTCAACTTCTGCAAGCATCATAATAAAGTAACTAAATGTAAGCCATTGCTAACATCTTAGAATTAAAACTTTAATTTATGGAAGTTATGTATTTGTCGATAGATTAGTAAAGTTGTTATGTGGCGTTGAAGATTGTATAGGTAAATACACGGCCACAAAGACTTTTATAACTACATAACGTATTCCACAGCTTAGCTCTTAAATGACAAACGCAGTACGGACAACGGCACGTTTCCCTTTACATTTCCCTATTCCAAAGTGTAACCCTAGTTTACACTAGCTACGCTACACTTACGCCTAGCGTGATGTTGAGTGTCCATTACTTCAGTTTTTTGAAATAGTACTGTACTTACTTTTAAAATATAATCAGGTTTAGTATATTTACACGATAGAAAGGTCGCTTAAAACTTTTCTATTTTGTAAATCTGCGTGGCATTACAGTGTGTAAGCACGGCTCGTCGTGGCACGTGTCGGGCGCGCGTGTTGCTCGAGCTGCATACCGCGCTTTCTCCGCCGAGCGGCTCGACTGCTGGCTCGCCGTACACGTCGGCCTGGGCCATGTCAATGTCACACTGACTGGTAAGTATTGGTTTCACATTCTTGCACTTTCTTAAGTGTGCAAAGGTCAAGTACATTTGTGCTGATAATATTAAGCAAATAATAATAATGACTATTACACACAAAAGTAACAACTTTAAACCTCGAGATTCATAAAATTTTTGGAACGATGTGAAGAGAAGATTGTTGCAAAGTAAATAAAAAATCACGTTTAAAAGGAACCCCTCAAGGTTTTTTTGGTAATTTGATGTTTTTTTTTTAATTCAAATGTTGTTTAGCCCTTGAAAAAGATTTCGTAATTTAAAAAAATGTGTGAATGCATATATAACACGAAGGTTTATTGAATATGTCACATTAGCTTGATCTATTTACAATTATTCCAGCGGTATCTTGGGGCAACGCATCACAAGGCGATTCCGGTGTGGACTACAACGAGCAGTTTCGATGGGAAGAAGCGGGTGCTATCCAAGATTGGTACAAAGCAGGCCTGGAAAAAGGTCTGCCGTATCCAGTCATGTCTGTGGCAGAACATTTCGCCGTCCAACACGAAGGGTTTGAGTGGGGAGCCAAGTATAGAGCCGCGGGGTATACCACTTCCACTTTGTTATGGTAAGCTACATGATAATTAAAGTTTTTTTGCAAACTCTAACGGTTCGTCTCTCTTAATTATTATAGGATTAATAAATCTTTATAACAAGGTCGAAAATTCAATAAATTATTACATGTATTTGGGGAAACGAGATTCTATAAAACGGTACGTACACCTAGAGAGGATCTGCGACTCAATTGATTGATTTATTAGTAGTTCGAAAATGCTCTAAAACAGAAAAAAATAATGACGATGAAATGGATCCAGAACCATACGTTGTGATACTTTGTGGACAGACTTGTATTTTTTTAAATAATATCAAGTGACCGAACGGACAAGATGTGCACCTTATGGTATGCTATACGCCTGTCCATAACAGTTGCATTGCCACTCAGAACTTTAAATCGCAAAAATTTGAGAGGCACTGCCACTGCGCCCGTCACTCCGAGACATAAGTTGACAAGTCTCAAGTGCCTGTAATTTCACCAGCACCCTTACCCTTCAATAATGCTGACATTACTGCTTGGCGGCAGAAATAGGTAAAATGGCAGCACTTCCCTGGACGAACTCTTTCACAAAAACTTCTACTGCTACTAAAGTATTTAGCTGTGCATGGCAGTTTTATGATGAATGATTCGTGTAGTTACACATAGGAACCCTTGGCATTTGAAGACAATATTTTAATATTCCAGGACGGCGTTAGCTCTGTGGCTGTTAATGAACCTCCTTCTGGTGGTAGTTCCTCGATACGGCGCGTACGCAATGGCGTCGTTAGGTGTGACCCTTTGCGCAGCAGCGGGCGGGTACTGGGCGTCATTGCCGCAAACGCCACTGGTAGTTAGGCTCGATGGAGCCATGCTGTTCTTCTCACTCGGCTGGTGTTTCTGGCTAGTGCTCATTGCAGGTAATTGTCGATATCGGTGAAGGTCCGCAAGTATTTAAAAAAAAAGCAGTCCTCAATCCGCATTACGACGACGACAATAAATGTTTGTTATATACCAAAAGTAAAACATAATGATACCAATCCTGAAGATATTCTTAAGTTAGATAATTTTTGCTCCAGAGCACTTAATTTAGAGATAAGATTCTAAGATACACATCATACTTTCCAGGTTGTGCTTGCATAGTAGTTGGTTTATTAATCGCAGCGCTGGACCTGGTGTGGCCACACAAGTTCTCTACGGTGTTAGAAGTGGACTACGATACGCCGTACGACAGACATGTTCTTATCGTTGACAGTCGGCAGCGAGCGCGACCACAGACTCAGAACTCACTACCTTCTAGGATATTAAGGTAGAAAATCGCCATCAAAGTACTGTAACATAGGAACCAAAAACACATTAAACTCGGATTGTCTAGTGTAGGCTGCCTCTTTTATCGTTTGCTTAGTAGTTGTTCTTTAAGTACTTTTGACTACCATTATTACCAAAGTATAGTTTAATGTTGAATAAAAATTAACGACAAAGCACAGACCTTTTTCGCTGCGGTTTCTTAGCAAGAACAAAACATCCGCTAATTTATATTCCATTGGCAACAGACAACGTATACGAATGTTGACAAACTTCGTAAAGTATGTATTTAAATGTTCTTTTAATTCTTCACGAAATGTTATAAAAGTGATTTTACATTACCTGTCATATTTTTCTTATCATTGTTATGTATTATATTAACAATACTTTTCAACATTTTGCGTAAACGGTAAAACCGATATGACTCAATCCGTATTTTAAACTCGCTGTTATTGATTCAAAAACAATCTCGACTACTTTTCATCTGACAATTGGACATAGTTATGCAAGCGAGAACCAACCCACACCTCGAGTGAAATTGAGTTATGTATTTCGGTAGAACACCAGACGTGTCCTTTACCCTCTCACAAAAGATCCTGGCAATATACCAAGCCAAAACGGAGAAAATAAAAATTCTTCAGGGTACCAACCCTAAATAAGTAACTTTTTAATAGCTAAAAAGAACCGTGCCGCTTAACTTCTAATAATGTATTTTAAATTTTTATTGAATTGATATTGAATTATTTTTGTGAAATTACTCCTAAGCAGTGCTTAGTTGGTATAGCGTCTGCCACGGTAAGCTAGAAGACGTCGGTACGAATCCGGCCGGATAGAGGAGGAGGATTTTTTTCTGAGTGTTCGATCTTTGTATTAATAATTATAACAAACTAGAGGAGTAATTTCACAAAAAATAATTGAATAGTAACATCTCTCGCCAGGACTGGTAGCTGTAAAGGTACTAACTGGGTGATAAATCTTTCATAGATATAGCGCATAGTCGTTGAAAAACCAATTACAAAGACACGACACAAGCACATAGAAAAATTCGTGAGGTTCGCTGATTCATATAATGTATTTTTTTAAATATGCTGAATGGATCCATGTCACATGTACTGAAGTACTGTAGATCTTTAGCGTTTTCATTACGAAAACTAGAACATGGTTCTCGTTAACTAAATAAAAAGATGCATAATATTTTCTATTTATTGCTATATAATATAATAGTTTCCCTATATCATTCTCAATGCTACACATAACTCACGTTGGTTGTCTCAAATAACTTACCTATTTATTTCTTTACACTGTTTTTACAAAATTTAATTACCTCGAAAGTGACATTTTGTGGGTTGGTTTTAATTTGCATAACTATGTCATTCTTTTTTTGTAACCACTACAACGAAAAAACATTTTGCAGGAGATTATCATCAAAAACCAGAGAAACTGAAGGGCAAGTGTCAATGTCGGTGGTAAGCGAGAACGGAGACAGAGGTCGGGACAACCCTGCGTTCCAACATGAGCAACGGAAACCTAACTCTCCGTGGAGGTACCCGCTCTTTAGAAGACAGATTGATAGGTAAGGCTGCTAATATCGTTATATAATATTTATTTAATATTATTACTAATAATTTATTTTACTAATAATTTATTAGTTATAATGCGGATGTTTTGAACAATTTTTTTCATAGAGCGGATTCAGCGTCAAGTCTGGGTTCAAGTGTAAACGGCAATAGCTCCGCAATCAAAATGTCGCCTCTTGCAAGTGGCTCACCTGCCATACCTCCACACAGGTATTTGATTTCGTTAATCTCTCAATTTACCATTACACAACCAATACCTTTTTAGAAAAGGATTGCATGAATTTTGTCCGACGTAGTAGTTACAATAATATATTTATTAATATTTTTATATATATATATATATATTATTATATAAAAACAAATAATAATATGTTTTCCTTCATCGTTACATTTTGATAACGTCACTAGCTCAGCTGATTTGGTTATTTGTTAATTACCATACTCATACTAATCACACAATATATAGGCTGACATAAAAATTAAATTAAATGTAGTGAGAATGGCTACAGGCACACAGACCTCCAAAAAACATTAGATTAAAAGAAATCAACGCGAACGATTTTTCTTTTTTAATGTACCTTAACTTTTTTGTTTCTTCAATATTTTTACTTATTGTTGTAGATTTCGACCTCAAATTCCTGCCGCCGAGAGAGTGAAAGACATGTGGTGATATGTTGTAGTATTATTTAGGGTTTAAGATGAAGGGAAGTTGTAGAAGAAAGGGGCCAAGTATTATTGAACAATTTCAATGTGACCGATCTCGGAACGCTTTCAAACTAACCAGCGTAGAATAAAAATAATAATAATAATATAAGTGTCAAACACAAGGCCTGAATCAAAAGGTATTTTCAAATCATAACACACAAGGAGCAACCGACTAAGGTATATTTACTTCTACCTCAAATCTAGGTAGATACTTTAAGGTTCCTACTAAGTGTTAGACACTTATATTCCGAATTTTTACGATTTGCCTCCTGCGAATCTCTTTTATTGTAAATATTGTAAATTTTTAGTTAGGAATCTAAATTATAACGAATCCGTCCAGTGTCATAAATTATAATGTTTAGATTTTCAAACCAACATATTGTATACCTCGTTTGTAATATCGTAGTGTTAATTGTAATAGTGCGTTGGAGTACGATTGCATCCAGACACAAGTGAATACTTTGTGCCATGTAAATATTAGATGTATCACGATGTGACACATTATTGGTAATCATAATCACTTGATCCTCTTCAAGAAGTATATTGTCGAGCGCCGAGAATTTTTAAAAGTTACATGAAGAAACAAATGCACAAGTTTTACTGTTTAGGAATATTCGTATGGAACTTAAAAAAAAGGTGTTTTTACTTTAAACAAATTGGTACTTCGGTAAAGAAAAGGCGTAAAAGTCAAACAACAAAGTTTACAAAACGAGTGACAAACAAACATTTATAAACGTTTTGGTTCATATCTTTCTTCATTTCTAAATATGTTTAGGTAAAAAAAAATACATTTTTGCGAATAACAAGACTGTGCAGACAGATCGAAAATTTACATTACACCTGTTGGTGTTTAAAGTGAAAATTGTAAAGTAATCATTTTTTATAAAAAATTGACGTTTACGCCCTTTCTCTCTGGAAGTATCGAAATATTCAAATGAAAGATTATTTGTAAAGGCAAATTCAGTTTTATATTGTATAATAACATGAAATAATAAAGAAGAGATTAATGTGTTTAATCACTTTAACGCTTGACGGTTATAATTTTCCTGAAATGGTTCGTATTTTTAACAGACTTGTTTATTTAATGCACCCTATTATTACCCTACTTTTTATTACATTCATACGAATTTCCGAAAAAAACGCATAATAATACCACATCGGTCGTTATAAGGTACCTATTAATCCGATATAATTTTACCTGATAACAAAATGGAGTCGTGTAATTTATTAATACCATTGACAAAAACCTTGTACTTTACTCATAGAACAAAGTCATAGATTTAGTTAGCTATAAGTTATTTATTGTGTAATTATATAGTTTCAAATATCATAGACGGTTGGTGTGTGCTTGGGATGTTTGCTAAACCACTTTATAACAATTACCTTCTACGTTTTAATAAAAGTCTTAAAAAAACATTTTCAATGTTGTGAAAATATATTTGCAACAGTGAATATGAAACACCGACATTCTTGTACATCTAATATCAAGTGAGAGCAATTAGTGTAAAAAGATTGACTGTCAGATTGTATTTATTGTGATCGAAAAAATATACGAATTCAAATGTAAACTGTGTAGTTCTTTCTCATAAAAAACCGTCCTTATTTTGCCGGTTATTTAGTCAATTTATACAGTATTATATACAGAGTGTAATCGTTAAATATGCCCAGGCGATTATTACGTAAATACATAAGATATCAAAAACCTTTAAACTGATATCGAAAGTACGTTACCTCGAGTAAAGCGACTTCAAAAACTTTTTAAAAATAAAACTAAAAATATCTCAAATTTTAAAATTAAACGCTTTAAATTGTACGGGACATTTAATAAAACATTCGTAGAAAGGCTTTAATTGATACTTTAAGGGATACAATAAGTTTACAGATAACGAAACTGCTATAAATAAAGTATTAAATATATCTTTTAATTGAATAAAAACAAAGTGATATTTATTTTTAAGTAAATACAAAAATTTGACTTAAAAGCAGCTGTTCGAAACTAAAGCCTCTCTACGAATTTCATATCAAATGTATAATGTTGAAAGTTTGGGAGCGTTTAATGTTGAAACTTTGGATATTTCCCGTTTTAAGTTCAAAAATTTATTGATGATGTCATTTTAATATTAGGTAACGCACTTTCAATATCAGTATAAAGGTTTTTGATATCTCTTATATTTATGGAATAATTACTTGGGTACGCTTAACGATTACACCCTGTATAGGTATAATACTCGTTTGAATATTAGAACACAAGGTGAAACGTGAACAGAGGACAGATTAGGTAATTTTTTTATATACATTACATACATCTTCCAATAAGTATTATTCTTTTATTACAAAGTAACCAAAACGAGGACAATAATATTTACTTAAGTAACTAAGCCAAATTATGGTTGATCTTTAACTAGATGATCTAAGTTTAGCTGGCACAGGAATGCGCTCCAGTTTACATAGCCCTCGTGTATCAGCAGATCCATTTCCTTCCACAGCTTGCACTGAAATATTCCGAAACGCTTAAGATATGGAAATATACAGGGCTATTTGTAGAATACTAACAACTTTGCAGGACCATATTACTACCACCATAGACAGTAACTTGTGTGCCGTGACTTTTTACAAATTATAATACATTTACCAATTAAGTTTTTATTGTACTATCTGGCACTTCTTAGATCTCGTCTGCTTAAAGGTAAACCCACATATGTGACATTACACAAATGCACAAAAAATCTCCAAATTATGTACCTGTTGTAAGAAAATCACATCTTTCTGCAGATAAAACCACTTATTGAGTTTATAGCTTTTTTGTTATTGAGTTTCACCTGCAGAAAGATAGTGATTTTCTTACCATAGCTCTATAAAGACTTTTTGTAAAAATGTTACTTATGTGGTTTTACCTTTAAACAGACGATCTGTATTTGGTAGTAACGGCGACCCCCACCTCTGCTGCTGCGTTACGCAACACCTTTTAGATCGATCTATATATATTTTTATTTTTGTACGTTTGTTAAGTCATGGAATAAATGTTGTTAATAATATAGTCCTGAATGAAACTATTGACAGTCAACCGTGACCATGGGACCTGTAAAGGGCCCGAAACGTCGGTTTGTTTGAAAAAACAAATATACGCGATTTAAATCCGGAAAAATAGTTTCATTCCTATGTATAACAATCGCGAAAACCTAAGAACTCGATAAATATAGTCCTGAGATGTTTATAGTATTTTACGAATAACCCCGTATGTATGAAAACTTTGTCGACAGAGTTAGTACATACCAAGGCTCAATTTATATTGCGGTGGAACGGAATGGAAGCGAATATTTGTAACGTTTTTGTACTTTGCATGATGAACTTTATGGTCAATTGTGTAACGTACTAACTAGATACGAGCCAAAATTCTCGCGCATGCTCGAATATGCTCGCGCATTGCGCGGAAGATTTTGGCTCGTATCTAAGTGACCATAAAGCTCATTATGGAATGAACAATATCGTTACAAAAGTCACTTCCATTCAGTTCCGCCATAATATAAATAGAACCTAAGGAGTCGATATGAACATTTTACCTTTGGTTAAAGCAGTAACTGCAAATTTTTACATTTTACAAATTATCATTCACTAAAATTATCAATTATTTTTCAAAATCAACAAGAAAGTAAATCATATTAATTAAGGCTAACAACACATACCTCAACGTCCTTAACCGGCGGCGCGTGGCGCACCACCTTTTGGTAATCCGCGTTAGTCAGGTTGAACACGGGCCGAGTTTGGAAGTCCAAAAAATCCAGCAGTTCATTCCAAGGGATATTGCAGTTGTCATCTTTTGGTAACCTGTGATTTTAAAGCTGTTCTCTGAAAATCTTATTTTCTATATTTAATTTTTATTTTATTTTTTTATTTATGAAAAGTGTACAATAGGGTACAACTTATACAAACGTCTCTTCTTATTCTATTTGTACCTAATGTTCAACTTGAAAATTATCATCATGAAAATAATATTATGTTTATGTATTGTTCTTGAGCATATTTTTATCATCCACAGGTAAGGTTACCTACTAGAAGTGATTTCCAATATTCTTGGGCATTTTATTATTCACAGGTAAGGTTATCTACTAGAATTGATTTCCAAATTTTTATATTTTGAAAAAAATATTATGCCTTAATTTTATTTTTTTATACAACTATTATACTTATTTAACTGCAATGGCATGTTTTAATGTTGTTATCATATGTTAATTGCGCTGTAAAAAAGCGATTTACTTTATTACTGTAAAAAAGGTATTTATTTTATTCCGTATTGTGGCGATAATACATTATTATTTTGACGGCCTCCATGGTCGAGTAGCTTGCCGGTTTTCATGGTGTTGCCATCTTTGAGTTCCGAGGTTCGATTCCCGGTCGGGTCAATGTAGGAAAACAATAATTTCTCTATAATAGTCTCGGGTCTGGGTGTGTGTGGTACCGTCGTTGTTTCCGATTTCCATAACTCAAGTGTTTCAGCTACTTACTTTGAGATACCAGCAACGTACTTGATGTTGTCTAATATTTATTTTTATTTAATATTTTATATACGTAAAATGTATGTGTAAATTATTATTGTTACAAAAATCTATCAAACACATGCTTAGGCGAAAAACTCGCGAGTTCGAGTGAAGTCGTATCGAATAAATTTGTCTTTGTGTTCGTTCTTTGTATCAATAATAATAACAAACTAGTGGAGTATTTTCACAAAAAAAAAAATTATGAATAATAATAATAATATGTTTATTTCTCCACAAAAACACATTCAGAAGGTTCTCAGTAATTTAAGAAAAATTACCAGCTTTTTGTAGGAGCTGGTGCCTGTTAATGGCTTAACACCTGCACTACAAGTCACCAGGCCCTCACCCTTAGGAATAATACATAATAATGAATATCATAACAGTAAAAACATCATGATAATCAATAAAAATAAAATATTGTATGTAAAATAAAATAAAGCGAAACATGTGACAATAATAAGTATCAATTAATTTGATACCGAATGTTTTTATACTTTTTGTCATTAAAATTTTGAAACCTGCGACCTGCATTCTCTATACTTTTATTAATTATTTTGACAAGTTCCTTTTTATTAGACAATTTTTTTTTCTTTTATATTTAACTAAAAATTTTAACTAAATATGACTGTGACAATAAATTGCGAACTTTGTATACTTTGCTATTAATATTTGTAATGCAATTGCTGGCAACACGCTGAACTAAGAGTAGTTTTAAACGTATAAATATTTAAAGTTACTACCATATTGATTTATTTTCAAAATTTTGCATACAATATCTCATTTTTATTGAATATCATATTTCTACATTCATCTTTGTGAAAATACTCCACTAATTTGTAATTTTTTATTATTGATACAAAGATAGAAAACAAAGACAAATTAATTCGATCCGACTGAACTCGAACTAGCAAGTCTGTCGCCTAAGTATGTATTTGTTCGATTTTTGCATCAATAATAATTTACACATACGTTTTACATCAAACATATGTTTGACTGTGAAGGAGGAATTTTGGCCGAAGGGCATAAATCGGAAATTCTGCGGCCGGTTACCTGACTCCAGATTACGCCACACGCCGCCGACAAGTGCAATTAGTTAGAAATAGTGTTTTATTATATTGTTTAAATGTCAGTCCTTAAGGTATACATATATTATACGGGTAATGTGACCTGAACTAAATAAATAAATTAAAAAAAAACACATTGTATGTTTACAAATAAGTATGCATATATCTATCTCTAAAATACCACTTACACATCCAGCATGCAGTTCATAAGGTCCTCCCGGAGTGGCAATCGATGCGCTCGTAACAGTTGCCGCATTCTGTGAATACTCAGCACGCCACTGCACGTATTATCTGCGTGCAGCAGGCCTTCTTTGAGCCTTGCGCGATCGTCCCACAACCCACGAGTCAGTTCCGTGAATACAAGGGACCTATTATACAGTACATATAAAAAAAAAACATGTGAACTAACCAGAACGAACTACTGACCTTAATTTTGTCTACAAATATTAGAGTCTAGGTTTTCGCGATTGTCACACATAAAAAATTAAACTATTTTTCTGATCTAAATCTCGTACACACATTTAATTTTGTTGTTTCAAACAAACTACCATTTCCAACCATGACCATGGGAACTGTAACGGGCCCGAAACGTTAGTTTGAAACAACATATATACGCGATTTAGATCCGAAATACATAGTTTCATTTACTAGTAGTAACTTTTTTTGAGTGTGATATACAAACCTGTATACAGCGCTACTGCTACTTTTATATAATAATGTATCGTCAAAAGTTGTACTCTGTAAAGAATTGTTTGCACCGCAATCACATCTATCTTACGCCCGAAATTAATAAATCCAAGTTTTGGTATCAATGATTGATATTTCAATCCATTTTTTAACAGACTTCAAAAAAAAAGGAGGAGGTTCTCAATTCGATTGATTTTTTTTAAAGTATGTTACGCGGTAACTAATTATGATAGCTGTAGCGATTTTTGAACCGATTTTGATGATCCTTTTTTTGTTGGAATAAGGGTACCTCAATATTGGTCCCATTTAAATTTGAAGGAAATATTCCACCACGTGGCAAACTCGAGGATTCATATCCGGTTTCGTGCACTTTCCGGTAAATGATTTCAATAAAACTCGATTTTTTTTAATAAAAAAGTTACAATTATCTTCGGACTGAGTTGCTTAAATCAATCTTAAAAATCAATCCGTCTTTGAAAGGGCGTATCACAGATAAACCTCTGTTCGAAAGGATATTTCGTGTCAATAACCAATTTGGCCATTTTGACATTTAGTTCGATCGCTGTAGACGTAGAAAGTTATCGTTCTTATTATTAAGAAATTGGGAAAGATAATGGCATTTTTAGTATTGTCCAGTAATAGTGACAACAATTATATGGAAGTCCTTGCTTAAAAAAAGAGCCTAATCGCACCTTATCATCTCTCGTCTTGGACTTTTTTCCTGTCCAGGATCACCACGGAAATAGCGCACTAGTGTGACGAATTCGTGTTCAGTCATCTTTTCACACATAACTTCTTTCAGTGCCTGTCTGAAAACATTTATATATTTCAAAATATACGTACCCCGAAAGTCACAATTAAATACCCCCTTGTCACTTAGTTTTGAAAGTAATCTCACTTGAAACATCGCACGGTCATGAGTTCTCTTTTTTCCGGCAGGACTGCATCCAAGTATTTGGCAACAAAGTTCTTATAACCATTTTCTTGAGAAGCTAACGTCCGACGTATTTTATCCATTATTAATGGAACATTTGCCATCGGATACTAACAACATAAATTGAAAATAAATTATTTTAAAGTTTACCTATTTATCGTTATTCATTGCACGACAAACAACGACTTACTTCGTTAGCATGTAACTCTAGATAGCGTAAAGCATATTCATCGGCACCAACCAGTCGAAAACAATGCTTGTTAATAACCAGTTCATTGCCGATCCACATATCTTTATCCGTGTAAGCTGGAGGTTCTTTTGGCACGTAAAAATCTTGGTCAGGTAGATACATTTTGTCTCGACGGAAGAATTTTCCACCCTAATTATAAAACATTAATTAACTCTGAAATCCCAGGCTAATCAAAAAAATTACCTAGTTGTTTATTGACAGTACGAACCGTAAATCCAGAATTACGTTCACCGAGTTCAAATATGCCAATTGTGTCATCGCATAGAAAATATTTTATGATAAAGTAACGTCTACGATTTACTGGGTTATCGTCAATAAGCCGAGCAGCAAATCTTAATACATGAGAATCGAAGCCCACTCTGAAATCAACAAAAACGAACGCGCATTCAAAGATATCAACGTAAGCTACATTTTTTTATTTACTTGTAAAGGTATTACAAAAGCATTATCTATTTTTCTAATCTACTAATCTTACTTGTCTTTATTAAGGAATTTCATAAAGTCTCGATGTATTGCTTTAGGCTCCACGGTCCGACAGTTCTCAGCCGAATCATCGTATGATCCGTAACCGTTCCATGGAGGCAGTTCACGATCACTAATATTTGATTTGATACACACTGTACCTGCGTCTTCCGGCATTGGTAATGGCTGGAAATCATCTGTGAGAATTATTAAGATAAGTAATCGAACCCACTTTTGCACTTTGCCATCGAATACAAAGTTTTTAGAGAATCTCCTTACCAAAACCATAATGGACTCTATAGTATTCCTTAGTAAATGGGTCACAATCTGTAAGAACCACTTTGCGTCCGAATACGTTTAATATAGCTCCAATACTGAGGTCAGCAGGAGTGTATGATGGCACTAGCGGACCTCCCGTCATCTCTATGTGATGTGGTACGTTCTAAAATTTAAAAAAATAACGATGTCCAATAACTCAACGACATACGTAAAGTAAAAAAAAGTAGCTCTTCTCACCCTCGGCAAACGCATTCTCTTCAAGAACATTGGACCAGCCTCCATTCCAGAGTTAGGGGGCAAAACTTCTTTTATTTCAATTGTATCATCCGCCAAATAATAATGAATTTCTAAATAATGTATTATACCAAATTCGCTCTTACGATCGTCCCAGTAACCAAAAAATCTAAAAAAAAAGTTAATGTCTAAAATAAGATTGACAAAGATTAAATTTTACAATTAAAGAGTTATAAAGGTGTAGACCTCAAAACTTGTCTGTCCAAATCCAGAAACTGCTTGAATGGAAAATGTTTCGGTGCGTGGTATACTTTTGGTTCCGACTGAAAAAAAAGAACGGACTTACTATAAAGTACAAAACATGTTTGCGTCTGCAAATATGTTTTTATATATTGGGATATTATCTCATTCTCTTTTGTTATAATTATCATTCTCTTTTGTTTATCACAAAATTTACAGAAACCTCAAACAAATAATTCAATACGGCCTAAAACTTACTTCTGGCGTATCCGGATAAGGAAGAGGATCTGGCACGTTGATTCCAAGTCTGTTCAGGTACACCCTCGTGAAATTATCACAATTCACTATCTGAAAAATTATGAAAAGATATGATAGAATATTTATTTTATTGAATATCATGATATTTTTAAATGAAATCATGATATTATTAGAAATGAAACTATTTTTCCGGATTTAAATCGCGTATATTTGTTTTTTCAAACAAACCGACGTTTCGGGTCCTTTACAGGTCCCATGGTCACGGTCGATTTAAATCCGGAAAAATAGTTTAATTTCCTATGTGCAACAATCGCGAAAACCTAAGAACTCGATATAAGTTGCATAATTCAATTAAGTCCCGCTAGATTGCGAAATTCTTACACTGTGTGTCGGTGTAATAAGGCCACATCTGCAAAATGGTAACATTTCAGGAGAGGCGCTTAAAGGTTCTACGAACGAAATTAGTGGGTAACTTTTATGCTTCAAGATATAGAAGGATAGTAATCAAAATTTCACATGTATATAGCGTGGTTCATGTAAATTGTTCGTCTTATTTTTATAACTTCCATAATATGATGAAAGCACTTTTGTCGTATGATCACAGTTGTGGCTTTATTATACTAAGGGTGCGAATAAGCTACATATCTTTGTATTCCTTAAACTAAAGGCATTAAGTAACTAAAAGTGTTTAATCGCAACATAATATTTTTTTTCATGACTTACTCTAAACACTTTGCCATGAAATGTGACGTCATAGCCTATGTTCAGATCAAGTACGTCATAGTATAGGTCGTAGCTATGAGGAAGACGAATCCTTTGGCGACTGATCATTATTCCTGGCAGAGTAATTTTCGGTGAATCATAAAGCTCATTCGAAATCATAAAAGACTAGAATAGACAACATTTGTTGCAACGCCACATTACAAAAATATAGAGATATAAAGAACAAAAAACAAAAGTAAAATAAAAAGAGAAAAAAACAACGCAATATTTAACCATTTCAATTGATAAATAACCAACAAAATTTAGCAATACCATATTAGATTTTCATCAACTATTTTAAAACAATATGTCGACAAAGATCGGACTTGAACCAGCATCTTTTGCCAAACCGGGGATACATAAATATTCAGTAAAATGAACATTGCAATTTTTAAATTTATAGTAAATTATAAAAATCAAAAAATATTTGTATTACCAAAATTGTCCTAACGATTATATGTAGGAGAAATACGTACGTACGTAAAATGTACATATATGGACAGTAGCACGCAAATAACGACGAAAAACACAATCTCCCTAAAGGTACCTAAAGGGACATTGTGTTTCTCTAGTACGCGTGTATAGTTAACAGTGCAGCTTTGACCTTACCTTGCGCCAATCCGCTGTTTTCAACGCGTGGTTCCATAACTTTGATGGTACCATCTTCGAGGAAAAAATAGATATCCACTTTGCGCACGACGTGGGATGCGGAACGAAGCTCATGCAGGGTTTGTTGGAAATACGCTTTGAAATGCAATATCTATAAAAAAATTTAATGTAAACCACCATTCATAGCTAAGGGTTTTGACATATCAGTGACGTGAAAGTAGCGAAAGGCAGACGAACTCGGAATTATTAAACTTTTGGGTCTCGATTTCATCGTGGTTCGTTAGCCCACACTCGCTAACTATTCCTTACTAAGTTCATTTTCTTCTGTTTATAAAAAAGTCAGGAAATTTTTCTTTGTATATAATTAGACCATCGAGCATATAACCAGAAATAGAGACGAAATATCATTGACTTACAAATAAATGGACGACGGGTCTAATACAAAAACCACGAAAAAAATGTCCCAAGTCAACCTATTCGAAATTTAAATTGTTATGTCATCGCAATATCGCGCTGTCCGTAGAACAAATGAAGACTAAAGCGGAGTGTCGCGCTCTGTATACGATTTTAGCGCCTTACAAGTGCGGACACTTTTTAGCGCGGACCCGACGTCCATATAATTGTAAGTCAATGCGAAATATCATTTAATTTGTCTGCAAACTATTCTGCCAAATCATTTAGACACGGTTAGAACTGGACTTCGATTGGCCAGCCCGAATTCGAAACAATTGACGGGTGTCACTTCAAATCCACCAGTTTAACTTGAGCGTTGGTATAATGGACGAAAATTGAAAAATTACATATTTAATATTTAATTACCGATCAAATGTGATTCCGTTTGTTTTGTAATTAGAGGTTTTGCTGTTTTTTCCCACACCACCGTATGGAACAACCCCCCAGTATTAGAGATCTTTGTTTAGTACATCTTTGTTTAGTAGCAGTAGAGCTCCTTGTGAAAGAGTTCGTCCAGGGTAGTACTGCCACCTTACCTATTTCTTCCGCCAAGCAGTAATGTCTGCATTACTGTGTTCCGATTTTGAAGAGGGTGCTGGTGGTGAAATTACAGGCACATGGGACTTGTCAACTTATGTATCAGTGCGACGAGCGCAGTGGCAGTGCCCCTCAGATCTTTGCGGTTAAAGCTCTGAGTGGCACTACAACTGTTATGGACAGGCGTGTAGCTTACCATCAGGCGCACGACCTATTCGTCCCGACACTTAATATTATAAAAAAAGCGAGTTAATATTTAAAAATTATATAAGGTCCATTTGCCTGATGTGTTGCCAGAGAGGGATGAATTATTTCGTCTCTATTACTGGTTATATACTCGATGAATTAGACCAACCACCACAACAAAAAGTTAATGCTACGCCTGAAGGGTTGCACCGCAACGCAAAATACGACATTATCCGATACCATCTGTCAATTTTTTTATTTAACATTACGGATTTACACTTTGTAAAAATACAGTATTTTACTGTCTAAGCTGTGGATGAATGTACGTACAAAGTAACTTTAAAGGACTTACTTGTTTATCAAGAACAATCCAGGAAGGCATATCGGAAGACTGCTTCCGTGCATACAATGAAGGCACCCTGTTACCTTCTTCGGCCTTATCAACGAGCATGTTTACGCCATCGATACTATTGAAGATCGGACGGACGCCAAAATTCTTTTTGCCAATCTATTAGGGAAAATATTGGGTAAGCAACACTGGCGTGAGCTAATGTCAACAGATATGTTTGGTAATAATGTGTCAACCCATAGATATAGATATAGGTCTCAAGTCACAGGACACAAGGCCTCTTCTAAAGAGTGGTGATGTCTTTGTTTGTGATCATACTCTGACCACAGGACAGGTCTTTCATTCCTGTTGACATACGTGAAGAACCTGACGACCTACATTTATGGTGAAAAGGATTGTTCTACTATCAGAGATAATATGATATTTAAAGCGCCTTATCACATCAGCCAACATCATTCTACATTTTTGACGACTAGCATAAGCATCAAGTCAATCCAAAATAACTTCCAAGCGAGTGAAAGTTTTATGTAACTAGTTACAATGCTAATCAAATGTCCTTTAGAAATTCCAAGATCTTCGCTTTCATTACAATCCGCCTATAATAATATAAACTTTACCTGGTAGAACTGGTACAAACCATGAACCTACATCATGGATTACTTAATAGTAGAGGTGGGCGTTTAAACGAAAAACACATAAAAAAGTCTGCTTTTTAAAATAAGCGCATAAGCATGCTTTTCATTTTAAGCGTAAGCGTTGGTCACTGGTCAGTCTATGCGCTTAAACGTTTTTCTAAACGACTTTTTACGCGTCAAACTAAAAAGCGTTTATGTGAAAAGCGCTTTTACAAGCACGCTTTTTAAACGTACATGTTAACGTTAAAAAAATAAGCAGTTTTTTCCATTTCAACGGTTAACAACTACAAAAGTTAAACAACCTATGTTTTTGAACGCTTTTAAACGCCAATGAACAAAATGTTAATATAATAATGTTAAGCATTGACCTACCAAGTTATGTCATAAACAAAAATATACCCTCGTTTTTCTTTTTTCAAAAAACTTATCTTAAAACCTTTAGTGGTATACTCTTGCGTTTCGCTGTCAACACAACGTTGCAAGCTTTTTTTAACATAAAAGTCTATGCGCTTAAACGTTTTCTAAATGATTTTGGTAGCTACAAACTAAAAATCGTTTAAAAAAGCACGCAAGCAAGTAACCTACATACATATTTGCAACGCTCTATACATGGGCGCAATCACAAACTACTAATACAAGGCGCAATGACGATAGCCAGGGAACTTGTACCCACCACATACAAAATTTAATTTAATTAAAAAATAATAATCTCTCAAAATCATAATTATTTCAAATTAAAGCTTATAACGGTAACACATCACATCAGTGAAATATACGACTTTTTTTTTTTTTTTTTATTGTGACTCGGCAAAATGACTGCACCGCGCCTGATGGAAAGTGCGAATACAGTCCAGAGATGAGAGTAACGGATGGAAAACACAAATATCTTCACTCCGTCACTATCATTTTGCCGGTCTGGCCAAATGCTTCTTCACACTACGTTTGAAGGACCCGATGTTATAGAGGGGAGGGAATACATGCGCCGGGAGTTGGTTCCACAATTTGATGGTTCGGCATAAGAACGAGTTGCCAAACTTTTTAGTGCGGGACGGTATTAAACTGACCGTCCAACTGTGGCAACGCAGTCCGGCACGGGTGGTCCGCTGATGGAAAGGAGAGGAAGGGATAAGGTTGAATAACTCTTCAGAGCACTCACCGTGGTACAGGCGATAGAATACGCTAAGAGACGCTATATCTCTGCGAAGCTGTAACGACTCCGCATGCTCAGTTACATGAGGATTGTTGACAACACGGAAGGCGTAGCGCTGCAGTCCATCTAGGGCATCGAGCAAGTACTTGGCAGAGCCGTCCCAAAGGTGCGAACAGTACTCCATGCTGCTTCGGACCTGAGCTTTATACAACAGGTATCGCAGCTCTGGAGTAAAAAATCGGTGCACCTTGTTCAGGATGCCAAGCTTGCGCGACGCGGTACAGATGACGCTCTCTATATAGTCTTTGTTGCTCATGACCTTCCGGATGCTCATCCCCAGCAGGCTGAGCTTGTCCTGCAGCGTCAGCGTTGTACCCTGAAGATGGGGAAGTGGAAGGAATGGGGATTTTTTGGAACTGAACGCGCATACCTGGGTTTTCTTGGCGTTGAACTCAACCAAGTTTCGGGAGCCCCACGACGATATATGTTCCAAAACATGGTTGAGCTCAGCGACAAGTTTTTCCCGGTTTCTCTCAGGGTCCTCCCGGCTGCTTGACGGTTGCTTATAATAGCAACCGTGCACTGTGCTATCATCTGCATAGCAATGAATGTTGCCAAAAGGCAACAAGTCATTGATATGCAGAAGGAACAGCGTGGGCGACAGCACGGAGCCCTGTGGCACCCCAGCATTAACTGTCACGAGCCGCGAAGTGCCTCCGTCAACAAGGACACGCAATCTTCGCTCGCGCAGAAAGCCGGAGATCCACTCACAAAGGCGGCCGGGAAGACCATATGCCGGAAGCTTGGAGAGGAGACCACGGTGCCAGACCCGATCAAAGGCCTTAGCAATATCCGACTGATCTACGCGAGCCTCTAAACCTCGAGAAAAACTCTTCAGTTAAATATTAACTTCTCCAGTAACGTTAAAGGGTTCAAATTTGCAGTTGCGAAAGTGACACTTTCTACTTCACCTGTTTATCCAGTCCATCACAAGGAGAATGATGACTTATAGGTAAATTATACACCGTGATAAACCAGAAAATTTTAAGACTAGATTCTATTGAGTCCTTTTTAGGTTCAACCCCGACTGTGTTTGTCCGGATATTCAGAATTCGCCTTTTTGTTCGTTGCAAATAAAGGAGTTTATGTTTTACTGATAATTAGAAGAAGGTATCAATACTTTACTATAGAAGAAAAGTAAAAGGTAAAAAGATCGCCATATTTTTTACTATTAGCTTCGGGTAGGTACTACTCATAGTAAAAAGAGTCTAATAATTTAAGCAAACTTCTCAACTGATAAAGTAAGAGGTAACAAAGTATTAATGACTGAAAGAGGTAATAAATAATGCCTATTTTCAAATAATATGTGTAAATGAGGCAATACTCACCATTGGATTTGTTCCCCATCCCGGCACCATTGGTAATCTTGGATTTCGCATAGCCATAATTTTACTTGTTGTTAAATATATTCCAAAATATTAATAATGTTAGAAAGTATACATATATGTTCCTTGGCTAAAAAAAATATAATAATCGCAAACTGATTTCCTTACAAAAACTTCAAAATACAGTAACTGAAATCGTAGAATTTGTAAACATTTTTTTGTTTCCATGGCAACAATTTTTTTTATCCCTTCTAATTCAATAACCGTAAATTTTGTCTATTCGTCATAGCATTCTCAATAACCGCAAAAACTTCTACAAAACCGTAAATTTGTCTCACCACAGCACAGTCTTCCAACCACGACGATGTCAAAAGTTATCTGTGCTATATCCATTAGTATCCCCTGATCAGTGTGAAAAGTAACGACTGCCGAGGCCAATAATTGTTTATGCGTATAATATCATAGGACGAGACACATAAAGCATAGAAATCGTTGATGGAAGTAGTGATGAAATCATAGAATAAACTTTGGTTAAAGAAGCGTAATTACCACTTAGAATTGCAGTACACAATTCTTTCAGACCTTAGGGGATGGAAAAAAAATAAAAGAAAGGGCTTCCCTAACTACGGAATGAACGTGCATACCTAACACCGCGTTTACACTATCGTCGATTGTTTCGACGAAACATTCGTCGAAACAATCGTGTCGAGAGGTTGAAACGCGTTCACACAAACATTATTCGTGCGATAGGCGATGCGATACACGACACGCATGTGTACTATTCTCTCATGTGTACTTCGCTATTCGCGTCGTGCATCGCATCGCCACTCGTGTGACGCGTCGTGAGCGGTATTTCGAGCACGAGTCACAAAGGAAGGACACGAGTTTTTTTAAAGGTGTGCTTTTTTTGAGAGAAAAGTATACAAACTACAATCAATGGTAAATATAAACTCTTGGTATTTCATGGCATGTATCCATATTATTTTCGTAAATATTTACACAATGCATTTTCATTAAAATGTATACAACAAAAGATTATTGTAAATTCTCGGACAACACTCAAACGGGGTAATTATCACGGCCTTGTATATTAAACTGGACCGCGCACTAAGTTAATAAAACGAGCCGAGTGAGAGGCTTCAAAGTAGTAATGCGTCTCTTTTATCCCTTTTATCCATGTTTCAGCCAGCCAGCCACATTGTTTTTAACTTTTTAATTTTTACAGAAAATGTGGCCGCTTGTGGATGACCAAAACTACTAATATTATTTCGTAATTCTAATTAGTATACTTATTTGATATGCTACTTCATAATAGAAGGTTTCATTGTTGATATTTTTTTTTTTGTATTATTACAGTAGAAGCATATTACCTTTAAGCTAATTTTATTAAACCAAAAGTTGGTAGGTCAAAGACCAAAATTAAAAAGTTAATACACTAGACACTACCTAAGATGATTTTATTTAACCTTGGCAACTTGTTATGCCGCGTTCTCACATTCGTGTGATAGGCGATGCGAATAGCGATTCGATCCACGATACGCATGTGTAAACGGTCACTTCGCTATAGCGAAGTTAGGCAAGAGTAGTGACGCGAAGTTACATACGACAGGCGACACGAAGTTACTTTTTTTTATTTCCTGGCACTATGGCATCCAGCCTTTGGCCATATGCAATTTCGATTGAGTTGCCAATTTTTGATAATTCTTCCAATACTTTCTTCCTTCTTGAGACTTCAGGATATCATTGTCGTCGCAGTTGTTGTTGTTGTGGAACTTTGATGTGGGGTTTTGGATATTAATAGGAATTTAAAAACGGGGAAAGGAAACGCAATCCCATAATTATATTTTTGTTCAGCCACTTTAGGCAATTTTACCCAGAATTAATTTCTTGGAATCTAGCAACTGATGGTTCAAAGACTGAAGATACTGCAACTTCGGCATTTTATGACCCACAGGTTAAATTATCTAAATGCTTCAAGATTAACAACTATTGTAGTATTTTTCACAGCGGAGTGTTATGCTATTTTCCAAGCATTACTTTATGTAAATATTCTCGAAGTTGTTAATATAATTATCTTTACTGATTCTCAAAGTGTATTGGCTGCACTCAATAACAAACAATATAAATATTATTTACGTTATATAGTATATAATATAAAACAATTGCTACATAACATGTACAGTAGAGGTAAAAATATAACATGTAAGGCGGGTACCTTCACATTCTGGTATTACTGGGAATGAACAAGCTGATGGAGCTGCATGAAAAACAGCAGATGAAGAACATTCCTCTTGTTTGAAAGTACCTTACACTGACTTCCACGCCCAGTTCATGTTGTCACTGAAGTCCTTATGGATGGAATATTGGAGGAAAGAGTCTGAAATAAAAGCAAAGTGGTACACCAGCCTACAAATGAGCCCGCCCGCTCAACCTCAACTCAACTTGGTGGAATAAAGCGAATAGACCACTACTTCGAGCTATCTCACGTAGCTCGGTTTTTACTTTTATTTAAAATAAACCTTAACATAACCCAATGAGGTTTAAGTTTGTAATATTGGTATATTGAAGTGCGCGATCCAGTTTATGAAATATATGATTCCGCGGTAATTATATTTGAAGTCAATTTCAATACTAAAATCTAATGACTAAAATCATTGACTTACAAATAATGGACGACGGGTCTAATACAAAAACCACGAAAAAAATGTCCCAAGTCAACCTATTTAAACGTAGTGACATGTAAAGGAATATGAAAAAGCTAAAACGTTGAATTTGAATTGTAATGTCATCGCAGTACTGTCTAATTTTGCTTGCTTCGCTGTCAGTCGAACAAACGAAGACTAAAGCGTGAATGACGCTCTGTATACGATTTTAACGCCCTATAAGTTCGGACACTTTTTAGCGCGGACCCGACGTCCATATAATTGAAAGTCAATGACTAAAATCTAATAAATTCCGTAGTTTTAAAAGTGGTTACACAATAATGATAAAATCACAAACGATATTAAAAAAAAAAGCTAATGCTTTGTAATAATTTTTACGAAAATGATATGGACAAATATTATAAAACACCGAGTGTATATTTATCACTGGTTGTTTACTTTTTTCTGAAATAAAAGTAAACTTTAAAAAAAATCCATGACATGATTACTTACTACATATTTTTGAACACAACACAAAGTAGGTACTTGGTTTTGGAATATCTAATATTATGTATATTATATATATATATCTAATATTATTATATATATTACGTATATTCGAAAATTAACAAACGTTTACATTTCATTGCACGCGACACCTACGTATATGTATACAATAGTATAAAAATACTTACATTATCTTCAGTGTCTATTGTGCGTTCCCAGCCATACACTGATCACAAGACATTTACCATGACGGTATATACGAACCATATAGGTCATATACATCTTCCACCCCCATACCCGAAATTATAGATTGTTTTTTTCTTACGAAGATACGCACGAAAATTTGCCATTAACTACTTTCAACTCATTGACTGGTAATTTTATAATATTAACACGGTTCCATGCATCGTTAACTTTGTGTTTAATTTTGTGGTTTGAATGTTTTGGGTTTCAAATGAGTTCTTCGGTTTCATACATATGGTTCTAGAAAATACAAGACCCGCGCATTACTCCAATCCATTTTGTACCTACATATTATCGCTAGCAGCTTATTTATACATAAAGTACTCTGTGGTTTATCTGAAGCGGGACGAATAAGGAAATGGCAGGCTTTTGAAGTTACAACTACAGTTTTTACAAAGATTATTAATTTTATTTTGAGTATATTATGAAGAAAAAAACGAAAAAACAAATAGCGATGAAGATAGTTAGAACTATATTCCGAAACTGAAACCGAATTACAAAAGACTTTATCCGGAAAATTCCACTAATTACGAATTCAAAGTTTTTGTTCAAAGTGATAGAAGATAATGTGACCTATTCTAGTCTCACTTGGAATTGCTAGCAGTAGGACCACGCCTTACAATCCGCAAGGCAACGGGCAAGTTGAACGTTTAAATGGTACTTTATGGAAGACAATCCAAATAAGTCTCAAACTCAAAACCAACGGTTAGAGACTGCGTATTGGGAAAAAGTTCTATCCTTAGCGTTACATTCTATGCGCTCGCTGTTGTGCACAGCTACAAATGCTACTCCCCATGAAAGGATGTTCAACCCCCGAAGAAGTCCAAAATGGGATATCTTTGCCTGCCTGGCTCATAACTCCGGGCCCTGTCTAAATAAAAAGAAGTGTACGTCGTTCGAAATTTGACCCCATAATGGAAGAAGGACCACTCCTACAAAGCAACCCAAACTATTCTCACGTCAGATATTCAGACGGAAGAAAGGACACAATTTCAAACAGGCACTTAGCACCACTGATGATGAACCCAGTGTATTAGTCGATGGTTCGTCTCCACCCGAAAGTGACATTGAGCTCATTATTGACGAGTCAAGGGCTGCAAACCCGGCTCAACATGAGGTTCGGTGCTCCACGCGGTCTAGAAGACCACCGGCCTACTTGGATGAGTAGAGATATCTAGGAAGGGGTAAATGATGTGCAATTCTATGGCTTGTTGCCATGGATTGTTATTACCATGGACCAGTAACTCAAGGGGCCTGCTAATCGTCATACAACTTAGCGTAGTCGGGTATTTAGTACCTATTGGTACGCTAGATGTCGCGACGAGCACCAAATAGCTATTTTGTAACATTATTTTTCATTGACACATTGAATTTTATCAAATCTGCTTCTAGTGATAACAAACACAGCAACTAGATGGCGCTATATTTTAACCAAAAATGGATATGCATATGCACCTGGAGTCGTATACAAATACATTGTACAAAAACAATCACAACTCGCAACGTTTCCATCCTCTAAGTAATAACTAGAAAACTACTTTGTCTATTCTAATGCCATTTAGACATATTATTTCAATTCACATACAAGACATATTATTCATTTATTTTGGAGGTTGATGTTGCTCGCTTCCGTGGGTTCGCCCTCGAGACCCTACAAGTGACCCCAGGGTGGTGCTAATGAGCAATAACTACTGGTAGTAGGCTTCGGCCGTGGCTAGTTACCACCCTCCTGACGCAGTCGAGTCGCCAAATGGTTTTTACCGTGTTCCGACTCGTGTTCGGGAGTTGCCATTAGGAGGTCGGGTCTGAACAGTTGCATTGCGTCTGACGGCGAGTTGAAGCTGCTTGTACTGCCACACTGAGCACTCGGTTCTGGAGGCTAGCGGGATCCGAAGCACGGTGCACCGCAGGCCGACCGTGGGAAGTAGCGGGAAAGCCACCCGTGAAAGGCTGCCCCGCCACCCAACGAAAAATCCCGGAATGCTTCCCCTTGCCGGTTGGTGACCGGAAGGGAGGACCAGGTGGCCATATCTGGGGTGGTTCTCCAAGCCGATTGTACCCTCGTGCGGCAGTGTGAGTCTGCTGTTTGGTTGAATACGACGCAGTGCCTCGTTCAACTGCCTTCCTCCTGCCTATTCACTTCTCCAAAACCAAAATGGAAAAAGTATACACAGCGGTTGCACGTCCTCCCACTAAAAGTGCACCTCACTAGCATCCGAGGTCTGCACTCAAATCTCGATTCGGTCCACTACCACCTTGAAACCGACAAACCGCAGCTGCTGTTCCTCACAGAGACGTAGATCAGATGTCCGACTGACGCAGCATACCTCAGCTACCCCGGGTATACTCTGGAGCACAGGTTCGTACCTCGTGCCGGAGTCTCTGTGTACGTTCGCGATGACATATGTGTCAAGCGTCTCAAGAACCTTGAGGCACCGAGTTTTTCTATTTTGTGGCTTCTGGTAGACACAGGAGCTACACAAATAGTGTACTGCTGTGTTTACCGATCGCACAGTGGAGATCAGGAGACGACCAAGTTGTTCCAATATCTGAGTGAGACGTCTGATGAGATTCAGCATAGGTACCCAGCGGCGCAACTAGTCATTTTGGGGGACTTTAATACACCCCATCAAGAATGGTTGTTTCCATACCAGAAGACCGATCACGCTGGGAGAGAGACGCATAAACTTGCGTTAACGCTAAGCCTATCCCAGCTTGTCAGTGGTGCCACTAGGTTACCAGATGTTGAATCTCATACGGCTAATTGCTTGGACCTTCTGCTGACAACTGATCCGGACCGATACTCTGTGGTTGTGGAGGCCCCACTGGGTACTTCCGACCATTGTCTGGTGAAAACTGTATCCGTATACTCCCCACCCGATCAGAGCCCTAGTGGTATGAGACGGGTGTGGCGATACAAGTTAGCAGATTGGGACGAATGCGCCATTTATTTACGTCATATCCCTGGCAGACGTGCTTTACTTCAGGAAACTCATCGAGCTGTGCTGATGCTGTAGTCGAGATCTTGCGTTCGGGTATGGAGTATTATTTTATTTCCTTTGTGCAAAATCGCGAAAACCGTGCAAATATGAAACGCAAAAAAGCAAGCTGTCACAATGACATTAACTTTAAGTGGCATTAGGGAGTTTATGTATTTAATACGAGGCTTACACCGCCAGAACAAAGAATAAAATTTTTGAGTAGAATTGTTCATTTATATGGTGACGTTAATAATCACTTGCGGAATATCGTATCCCGTCCTACAAAAACGAAGCTGATTTTTATTGTTGAAGGCAGACTCAGTGTTTAGCAGTACCAGTGTTTTATTATATTTTTAAAAGGGTTTCCAGTAAGAAAACGAGCCTATAAATGGCCTTTAAATAAATAAACCCCAATTATTTAAATTACTGTAGTTTTCTTAACACACAAAACTTTTCCTTGCAAATACTGTGCACTTTATTGCAGACAGCAAACCCATAACACCAATTTGTGTATTTAAGATTTGAAAATGCTGGATATAAAAGCAAACATAAACTCATTTTTCATATTTAACTCCAGTTTCGGGCCCAGAGAAGGTGATGTAAGTATTACGGCTCATAACATCTTGGCGTATGGCCTTTTCATATAAAAAAAATAATTGGTTCCACCTACTAATTATCTGTCGTTTGGTAGGAAGCTAAACGTATTTTGTTCTTCCATCCGAATCAAGTGAGCATAGATTCGAGGAAAAATCAAGTGGGATTATGTGAAGCCGTCGTAAAGTTCATGTCGTGAGTACAATTTAATGATATTTACTTTATTGCATGTAGGTATAGTTTAGAAACAAATAAGTAAGGACAAATAAAGCTATGCAGCAAGTTTTTGTGACAAAAGTTTAAAATCACTACTCTCACCTTGATCTACATAAAAGCTTGTTAACTGTTGTACACTTCTTAAAAATAAGAACCTAATGTAACCCCATTCCCATAATTATTTTTCTTAAACTCGGTGGATAATTGATTTGCTCTGTGGGCGCTGGATGAGGAGGTCCCAGTTTCAGTATGACCTGATGATTCTGGTATGACCAATTTGGGAAATTTAAGTGTTCTAAATTGGGTCTGGTATAAGAGTTATAGGTGGCGCCTGAGAGTCAATTCTGTTGCTATAGAACTCACTAGTACAGGAAATTACCTACTTTGAAACTAGGTTAATGTTGTAGTTGCCTGGCACATCATTATTATTATTATCATTAAATATGGTAGGTGTGATGCAGCTAACTACATCTGTTTTATTTTTGATATCTACTCATATTTAAAAATGTTATATATTGTTAAGATTTCAACAGTCAGTGATTTAAACATTTGCAGGACTTTTTCTTCAGAACCATGTGAAGCTCTCCAGACTCAAATCAAGAGATATATATTCTATCAACCAGAAAAAGGTTACTGGATGGTTCTGGTAAGTATTGTAAAGTACATTTAAATGCCTTAGAATAGAATTATTACATCTGTAAATACAAAACAATAAGATGGCAAAAAAGTCATTAAAAACCAATAAGCACGTAGAAAAATTTGTAAGATCTGCTGGCCCATTCCATACCTAAGCTGGGAGAGTGTCAGACATAGTATGCTGAATGTGCTGGTTTGAATCCAGCCAGATTGAAGGATTTTTTCTTAATGCTCGATCTTTGTATTGATAAATATAACAAACTAGTGGAGTAATTTATGAGTGTGTGTGTTGTTAATTTCACAGAAAATAATTATTATAGTAGCAAAACATTGTGATATCAAATAAACTTAATATTCCATTAAGATGAAACAAATTTAATTAAACAAATCTTTAGAGGGGAGCATTGCACTTAAATTCAGGGGGCACATTCATACACCTGCATTATCTCCATATCTTCTAACATAATATTAGTTGGGATAATACTAAAACGTGCCTCTGTACTTGTGAGTAATAGACATGCGATGATGCAGCTCACCAGTTAGCAGTTGTTGTTCGACAGGTCACAAACTGTTTTCACAACCATTGACTAAAAAAAATAAACGACAAAAATACAAGTGCCTCTGCAGTTTTGTTCACTTTACAGGGTTTTATGTTTTAATACAGGGTAAACTAGTGTTTTCAATAACTAGAATTGCATGTGAATTTGAGAGGATAAATAAAGATTTTTTTTAAATAAATATTTTTTTCTAAACTGGCCTGTGGGGTACTTTTATACACTAGTGAGTGGGGCAGTTTGGTATGTATCAAAGTGCTTCTATTTGTTATTTTGTACCTAAAACGTGAAACTGTTTCAACAAGTTATTGTAAAGAGGTGAACTAGTGACATTTTGCCCTATAGTCAGCTCTTCCTCCTGTATTTCTACTTCCAAGTCTACATTACAAAGTTTGACATAGTTATGCAAACAAGAACCAACTCACACCTCGAGTAAAATTGAGTTATGTATTTAGGTAGTATGCCAGATTTGTTCTTTACCCGCTCACAAAAGATCCTGGCAATATACCAAACCAAAACGGAGAAAATAAAAGTCCTTCAGGGTGCCAACCCTAAATAAGTAACTTTTAAATAGCTAAAAAGAACCATGCTGTTTAACTTCATATAATTAAATCGCGTATATTTGTTTTTTGTTCACGGTCGACAGTCAACCGTGACCATGCGACCTGTAAAGGGCCTGAAACGTCGGTTTGTTTGAAAAAACAAATATACGCTATTTAAATCCGGAAAAATAGTTTCATTTCCTATGTGTAACAATCGCGAAAACCTAAGAACTCGATTCATATAATGTATTTTTTTAAATATGCTAAATGAATCCATGTCACATGTACTGAAGTACTGTACATCTCTAGCATTTTCATTACGAAAACTAGAACATGGTTAACATTTAGTTAAATAAAATGATATATAATGTTTTCTATTTATTGCTATATAATATAATAGTTTCCCTATATCATTCTTAATGCTACAAATAACTAACGTTCTTTGTCTCAAATAACATACCTATTTATTTCTTCACACTGTTTTTACATAAGTCTAATTATCTCGAAAGTGATATTTTGTGGGTTGGTTCTAGTTTGCATAACTATGTCCACTTTTCAAATGGTGCCCTAGAAAGAAGTCTTGATCTAGCAAGTGCTGTGGCACATCTAGCATCACATTTATGAACAGTTGATCACCTAGTGCTGATAATATGTGGCAACCAGGAATGGCACCTATGTTGATTCACACATCTAAGTGCCCAAAGCAAAGTGTCAAAGTACCACAGTACAATTAAATTTAAACAATAAATTTTTTTGTTAAAATCAAAATTTTTCAATTATTTAATGCTATTTATGAAAAAAAAGATTAAATTAGTAACATTTATTAGTTATACCATCAATTAGATAGAAAAGATATTCATTATAATTTCATTTAGTACTCAAAATTAAAGTTAAAAAAAGTGTACGAATTTGCCCCGCTTCACCCTATAAATAAAATAATCTAAAACTAAAGTTATATCAATTAAGTATTATATCATACACTAACTAAGACATTATTTCTTAATGTTGCCACCACTAGGCACAATGTTTTAGAATAAAATCATGACCTTTTGTGGTCACAGTGTTTGAACATCAGTACAAAGGTCTAGTCTAATGTCCTACCACTACTTTTACATGACATTTCATTATATATAATTTAGCTTATATATTATATGAATCCCAATTCTTTATCCTTTTATAGGTTGTAAGAATCCCATACACTACCAAAGCTTTATCAGCCATTGGAGAAAGCCAGAGTGAGTGTCCTGTGGAGCCATCGGTAATGCATGACTTGCTCAAGTCTGCTTACAAAATGTTCAAGATGTTCATGGGACCCTTCAAGAACATACCGCAGGAAGACATTTATACTAAGTGTGATCATTTCTTTACTCCTGTGAGTATGATGAACAAGATTTTTATTGCAAACTTAACATGTTCACATAACATCATCAAACCACTCTAGAATAAAGGTTAATCAATAGATTTCTGATCAAAAAATACACACATCAAAAGTGTCTAGGGATCAAGTGAATATTTTTGAAATAAAAATTATTTAAGCAATATTTACCAAATCCAGTCTTCCAGGACGACTTCTTACTTTAATGCTTATGTTTTATTTAACCGCTTACCCCTATATTTAATAAAAATAAACTAAAATTGATGTTTTTGCAAATTGTGGGAAAAAACTCAAATTAACGGCGTCAATTAAATGACAAAAAAATGGCGAAAATGATGATTTTGCTCATTTTTATTGTAAAGATAAGAAAATTAATAATGTGTATTTCCACCATTAACACGAATCACACAATTACAGCGATTTGGCATGCTTAAGATGAGTTCATCAAAATCACTTTGAGGAATGGCCGCCCATGTGTTTTGTAACAAGTCAAAATATTGTTGTAGAGTATGTGCGGTATGCATACTCGGCACAGCTCTTCTTTGAAGCATATCCCATGCGTGCTCAATTGGATTGAGGTCTGGCGATTGAGCAGGCCACGGCAGAACGTTGATACGAGCTTCGGCAAGAATGCGTGTTACGACTCTAGCTGTGTGTGGACGTGCGTTGTCATGCATTAGTTGAAATGAATCACCCAACTGGCCTCGCAAAGGGATGATAACATCTGAAACAATCCTCTCTGCGTAAACTTGAGCATTGAGGTTACCCCTGATCCAAATGAGATTGGTTCTTCCGCCGATCCAAATACCGGCCCATATCATTATTGTTCCCCCACCATATGGATGAACTTCCTGACAATATCTCAAACGTTCATGACGTCCAGATGTTCTCCAAACTCGAGTACGTCTTGTATCCGGTCTCATACCGAAGCGGGATTCATCCGAAAAGCACACATAGCGCCAGTCTTCTTCCTCCCAGTTTCTGTGTTCGCGAGCCCATCGTAAACGGGTCCTGCGATTGCAGGGTGCAATAGGTGGAACTCTGAGCGGCCTTCGGGATCGCAGACCCACTTCACGTAAACGATTTCGGATTGTTTGATCGCTTATTAGCAAGCCTGAGGAGCTGTGGAGCCTCGTAACCAACATCATGGCGGTCATGGTACGATTCCGTCGAGCAGTATTTTGGATATACCGGTCCTGTCTGCGAGTCGTGATGCGAGATAGTCCTCCATGTCGCTCGGCCACGCTGCCCGTTATGCGATAGCGTGTCCAGAGGCGACTTATGACGCTCTGTGTAGTGTTAAGAGTGAAAGCCACAGCACATCGCCTGGAACCAGCTTCCAACATTCCGACGGCTCGCATCATCACTTCTCAGGTTAAATGATGTCGTCTCTCCATAATAATGTAAATTGTTTCGGTTCCGATGCAGATATTGTAATGATTTTGTCAAAACGCTATAACTCATTTTTATACAAAACCACATTGACAATCGATTTTCTTCTTATTATCGAATTTTAAACAATATTCCTTATTTAAATGTTAAAACTCACTAAAAAGTATCAATAGCGATACAAAAAAGTTAATATAATTAACCCTAATTGCAGCAATACTCTTAAACGTACTTGATCCCTAGACACTTTTGATGTGTGTATTTCATAAATACACAATGTACTTAATGAAAGTGAAATTTCATTCAGATTTGTTGTTACTTTTGAAATTCATAAAAGTTATTCTATAAGTACATGAAAAGAATTCAATTTCCCATTAAAACATATTTTACAAGAATAGTTATTTAATTAAACTGAATAGGACGTCTATTATATCCCTATTTTTCGAAAAATTTTTTATTCTGTCTTTCAGTATTTGATGTCAAAGGGCTTTACAAATGATGTGTCAGATGTAATCAGAGGTATCAATTACTTGCCTCTAGACAAGAACTCTTTCTTCAAAGTGGTATGCTTCATAGATTTATTGGAAGTCAATTACCCCATCTTCAAGTGCGCCACATTTGTCTACAATGAGCAACTGATTTGGTGAGAATTTTCTACTATGACAAGTACCTACCCAAGGTACATAAATTTTTTCTTGAATTAATTATTGGTAACATAAACACTACATAATAATAAAAACTTAATTCTGCACTATTTTATTGTAATTTTAATACAATAATGAAATAAACCTGGATGAAACCTGGCCATATTGTTTTCCAGGAACGGTTTATCCTCAGATGATATGCTAACTCTGTATCAGTATTTGGTCCAAACATTATTACCTAAACAAGTTGAGAAAGAAATTCAAGGAGGCGCTGTGGCGGCTGCCCAGCGCCACGGCCGGTTCATCAGCCCAACAGAAGGCATTCGATGCAAAGAAGACTTATTGAAATTAACAAAGGTGTATATTATGAGAGAAGATGATACAGAGGCTAAACAGTATTACTTGGTCATTTATAGGACACTGAGTGCGACAGTTTGTTTCACTGTTGATGGTAAGTTTCGAGAATCCTCATCCTGAACGTAGGAGTGATCTCGAGACCAATTTTGAGATGTTTTAAATTTTAGTTAGAGGTATGACCGTTTCCTCATGCTCCTGCTGGGTGCTCCCACTGGTAGAAGCAGGAAGTGTCTGAGCTAATATTCAAAATTGATATAGAAATCTGCTTATAAAGGCTTTAAAACTGAATGTTTTCTACTCTCTAGATGGGTCCTAATTGTAATTTTTGTCTTTACAGTGAGTGTAAATCTTGAGTTAGAGATGTTCAAATCGCTGGACGCCTTCATTAGCCCTCAGCTATCTGCAATTGCGTCAACGATCAGCGAGCAATGCGCAATATTCGCGGTGCAGACCGCGCAGGTCGCAGCCACTACAGACTCCAAGTTTGTTTACTTCAACAGACTTAATTTAGCCTACAAATCTTCTGTAAGTGTTTTAACAAAACACAATTTTCATCATGAGGGAAGCTCCATAATCTTCTCTTACTACAAATCAATACATCTGTTCTTTATTCTAGAGTCCTTTAAGCAAGTTAATTCCATCAACTACAATAAAACCTGAAGTGTTGAGTATAATTGCAGGCATACACACCGACAAACAAAGGTACTTGCGTACATACATATAATAATTTTTAACACACACCCTCATTACTAATAAAATTATTTTATTTTAGCTTAGGAAGTTATGGTGAAATTATAATTAAAACCCCTGACGAATACTGGATCACAGGCAAGACATCAAATGAAAGAGAGTTTTATGTGATCATACAGGAGAAAAATGCTAATCTTAAGGATATCTCAGGTAAATTCCATTTTTTTTTATAAGCACAGATTGCTTGTTGAATTTTTCAATTGTATTTTTATTTCACAGATGAAGTAAGAAGAGTATGTGAAACACAGATGAAGGGTATATTCTTTTACCCAGCATGAATCTATGAAATTCATAATATTAATTATTTATGTTAAAGTTATTTATTTAAAAAATATACTATTTACAGAAAATAAAATATAAAAGATGTAATAACTTTTCTTTAATTAACATTACAATCAATGTACAATATGATATAATCTTCACATAATCTTAATAATAATTGAATGCTAATCTTGAGAAACTTTATTTTCCTCATTATGAGAAAGTTTCTTGTATAATTTTATGACGAGGTCCTTATTTTCGAAGCCCCATGCTAGGAGTACACTACACAGACAAATTGCTCCAACAAGTATATGCAAGAATACAGAACTAGGGGACAATTTATTTTCTGATAGCTTACATATACACCCTGCTATAAATAATGTCAACAGAAACATTTTACCAACATGTAAACCTTCTAAAGGTTTATAACCTGTGTCTTTATATTTGTTATTTATGAAATGAATGCTATGTATTATTCTAGCCGACATATTAATACAATTAGAAACTATAAAACCCACTGGGCCGAAGATATAAGTCAAAACATATGATAACAATAGAAAACATATTGAAAAGAATACCATTAAATAGTTATAACTGTTCAGCTGGGAACTTGTCATTGTAGCAAATGTGTAACATTCAGTCACCCCATTAATAGCAAGCAGGACTATCGCCAAACAATGGCTGCGAAGCAGTTGCACAGGTAGACCACTTGCAACAAATGCATCTCCTCCATACAACATCAATAGAGTATGAGCATAACTCTGTCCAAACACCAACACTATCAACCCAATAGAAGTGACAGTCTTACACACTTGTGACAGTACTATACAAGATTCTTGAATTTTTTGTGCATCTTGCTTATGCAAAGGCAAATCTCTACTAACCATTTGTGTGAAATAGAAATAACTGCTGTCTTCAATTGGTCTAAACACAAATCTAGCTGCAAGACTGCCTAGATTGTTAACAACATCATATGTGGCCTGCTCAGAAAAGCTCATTACAGGGCTGAGGGACATCACATACTTTTCCCCTTCAGTCAGCAATTGCTTAACAACTCCTTGCTTTGCAAAACTTATGGTGAGCGCACTCAACTTTTTGTTGAAAGTTGTATTCATTGATCCCAAGTACTTTGGTAAGAAATCCTTAAGTGTTGTGAATTGGAAATCGTCCATATTGTCATAAAGTCTTTGCACAATAATGTCAGGTACAAACTTACTTTTCAGTGCTCCTTTGGCATACAATGGTTTATTTTTAATGTACCAATAGAAAAAAATATAATAACTTAATACTATTGTTGCAATACTACACACTTGTGCTATTGAAAATGCAATAAGTGCTTGTGACCTATCATAGATAATAATAGACAGAAACAAGACAGTTCTAACAAAAATATGTAATGTGTCAAGGGCAACTTTGAATTTTACAAAACAGAAGAGTTGTGCAACAAGTACTAAATTGGCAGAACAAAGTTCAATCACACAGGAAAGGGCCACACTCCAGCAACCAAATTCATACTGGAATGCATACTCCTCAGTGCTAGGTGGCAACAAATTTAACCAAATATAAACAAATAATAATGACAGAACGAAGCTAAGGGGTACAGAGAGCCATATTTGATTAATGATGTGGTTCCAGCTGAACTCTTCCTTCTGCCCTAGGCAAGCTCGGTTAAAAGGTTCTCTGCTCAGAAACAAAATAGTGCTTTCTAGTAGCAACAGCCGCACATTCATAATACCTAGCACTTCATGGCCGACATTCCTTATCACCCAGGCATTGATAATAAATGTTACACATCGGAATAAGATTTGGAATATAATATTAAACGACGCATTCTCTAAGCTACTCATTAACAAATTTCGTCCCATAGTGGTGATATTTAGATAACTTTCAAACGTTAATAGTGTTTCCGTCGCCTTGCTGAATTATCCTCTTCACCACATAAATCTTCTTGTTAGAAAGGCATATAACAAACCAGTGATCATCATAAGTTATAGTAATCTTCTTGAATAATTCATTGGGAGCAAAAGCCAGAGGATCGACCCTGGAAGCAAAGGTTGAAAAAAAATATGGTCTTATAAAGCACACAGCAATTATTTTACGAACGATGAAGCGTAGCAAATCATTACACACTTGTTAGATAAGGTGATGAGATCAGTTATGATTGTCGCGACACGTTCGTCGTTTTCCAGTTCGCCACCGGACTCAAGGACAGCACCGTCCTCTGTCAACACCAAGTAACCGACCTGGTCTGGGATTTTGTCCATTATAGCTGCAATTTTGGCACACCTTATTATCACATATCGCAACGTTTTTAGAGGATTCTCGTTGGAATATTTTTATTTTACCTCGATCACGTCATCCAGCAGTTTTTTCTGTCAAAGAAACGTCATTCAATTCAAATTTAGTCTTTTTTTATTACGATTTTTGGCTTGGATAGAAGTCTTTGACCCACGTCTCCGTTTCCTTTTCGGGATTCTCAATAAGTATTTTCTTTTGTGTATTTAGTGTATGCAGTGTATGTACTTATAGACTGGCAAAGAACTTTGGATTTTTTAAATCGTCTTTTAAGCAGCGGGAGTCGTTATTTATGTTTTTACTTTCACTTATTTTATATTATTTATTAGTTCACTTGCTAATAAAAGACGAATTTTGAACACGGCTTAGTAGGTATTTAAAATAATTGCTTGTTTAAAAATAAAATTTTTAAACAAGCAACAAACAATTATAAAACTCAAAACGTAATATTAATTAAACTAAAAATTAATTTGTGAAAAAACTGTAACTCAGGATTTGAGCAGACTTGAGTATGATTTGAAGCG